GCGACTATTGAAGCAACGTGGGGGAGGGCCGAGAATTGGGGGTTGAAAACGGGGGGATAAAAGTGAAGCTGGAACGGGACGATAAGGGTGAAAAAGCGCAAGAGGGGGAATAAGAAAACGGGAAGGCTTGAGCAGTAGCATCCCAACCCCTATCCACCCTGCCCGATGAAGCAGATAGGGCACCGTTGATTATCCTCTGCGTTGGCCAGAGTATCAGAAATTTTTTTGAAGTGTGATTCATTGTATGGCGTGGGCAGTATACTGTCAGGTTGCCCAGGCCTAGACAGGAGAACGATTAGGGTTCCCAACCAAAGCCTTTGGTTCAAAAACCTGAGCGTAAGGCAGCGGGTTTGGTCTTGGGCTACAAGGAGTCCGTTTTAAGGAATAAGGAGCCACCCTCATTCCAACCCCCAACCTGGAGGACCAGGAGGCTGAGTTTGTCTGGCCTCTAACCACTGACCAATCTGGTATGAGTGGCTCTGAAGGTACAAAAATGCACCACCCAGTATAGCTCAATGGATCACAGAGGCACACGAACCATTGCACCATGGTAAGGTCCAGCCTCATTGCGATGGATTTAGGAAGAATTGATCGAACTGCTTCCAATGCACAACACTACAACAAGCCAGGAGATCTTTCAGCAAGTCGGCTGCTGACCGAGTGGTCTGCGTACGTAGTTTGCAACCATAAGGTCCCCAATTCGCATCCGCCTAGTGTTAGGCGTATTCCCGGTACAAAGCCTACGCGCGACTAGTGGTGATCGTGCGGCAGTAAAGCGCTGTTACGGTGTACAGCAGACACCTTACAATTATTATTATTATTACTCTTTAGCAAGTCGAACAGATTTAGCTTGACTATCGATTGGATTTTAGTAAAATTGCTTACCTACCTACCGACAGTGCTGCAATTATGGTAGGTAGACCTAATAATGTTGTTAGCGTGTTACGTAAAGAAATTGAAAAATCTCACCCGGATTCGTCATCTGCATATTTTCACTACATTATTCATTAGCAAATGATGTGTTGGAAGATTTTAAAGTTGGATACTCCGTTCAGTTTGGTTACAAAGACAGCTGTGCAAAGAAAACTTAACTCATTTTCATTACTGAAAAAAAACTGAACGACACTGCCAACATTTAATTTGTACTTAGCTTTGCGAATTATGACAGTCACTTGAAATTGCTTTCAAAATAGTTTAAGGGAATATTTCATGACTTCTCATCTTCTTAATACCAAACTGCTCCATTCTCAGCACCATTCACTGTTGATGCTGGCAAGGCAAAAGAAAGCATGCAGGTGGAACTATTTGAAATGCCGTCTGATACCAAACTAGGAGCAAAGTACCTTTAAGTCGGAGTATGTGGTTACCTTTCATAACTTCCTAAAAAGTCTGAAAACCTGAGTGTACTCCACAAGGATTATAACGATCTTCCATTCTACCTATGTTTATGAGCTGTCCTTTTCCCCATGAAAACAACACGAAATTCTCTGCGACCACGGCTGAGTGGTAAACACTTGTCATCTCTGATAAAAGTCGGAATGTACGGACCCTTCATCCACAAATAGTAGCAATTGTTCTTAAAAGGTGTCCAGCCTTAGGAAGAGAAGCAAAACAGATGTACATGTTGAACTGTTGTAATGGTTGTACAATGCGATTGTTGTTGTCGCGTACGAGTCTAGACTATCGTTAAACATATAATTGTTAATCCTGTTGCTACACAACTTAATTATATTGCATTTATGGATGTCTAACCGTTAGATCGTGTGTATAGAAATCATATGTCACGAAGTTGAGTCAAATATAAGATGTTATATATATATATATATATATATATATATATATATAGGCATCAAGTACATGTCATGTGCAGCCCTCATGACAATCAATTATTTCCCATGTGGCCCTCTTAGGTCCCGATTTTTACACCTTGGTATAAACAATCAAGCTATTTTGACAAGTAGACGACATGGATTTGTGCTCCACAGTTAGCCGCTGCAGTTCAACTGCTGTGTGCAATCAAGCGATTAGTAGTAAATGAGTGCTTTCGCCAGAAGCCATGTTACTCTAATGTTTTTAAGCTGTGGTTTTCCAGAGACTTATTAGCGCATCTTCAATGATTGATTCCATAGCTTTGGAAGAAACAGTAATCAGTGTTATTGGATGGTAAAATGAGTGATGAACCCTGGATTCCATACTGAATGAGTTTGCTTCTCCTATGGATATCACTGAAATAAAGCAGACAGTGGTTCTGCTAGATAACTCTCTACCGCCTGCGGAGCCTTCAGTCGAATGTCATCGACACCAAGAGGACTGAGGATATGCATGGTATATGCAGGATATGCAGATGCACTTTTAGCTGTTCCTTTGACCATGAGTTCTTTGTTACTAAACACAAGATCAAGTACCGACTGTCTGTTATCTGTTAGAAATCTGGTGGGTGAGGTTAGATGGTTGTACAGAAATTAGCGGCAAATTAGTTATGCTAACTGGCTCTAATCTGTGCAACGTCAGTTGCTGGCGTCTCCAGGTAGTGCATATTAAAATTTCCAGCGATAATAGGGTGGTTGCATGACTTGTTCAGTGCAACCACAGAAAGGTACTTCAGTTTGGAGTCCATTTTCTAACTACAATATGGGGGTGTCAAATTACGGCAAATAGACATGTGTCCTTGTTCCACAACTATAAAAGGCATAAAAATAAATCCAGGTTGGGGTTTCAGAGTGATCAAAATTTGGTTCATAGACTGGCAATGCAATAAAGCGTTACACCACCACCCCTTTCGGTTCTGTCGCTCCGAAGCAAGGATATATCGGGTAAATTGTTCACAGTATATTTTATCTCGTTTAACTAGGTCTCTGTAATCCAGGTGAGATTCCTTGGTTGTGAGGCGTGGTCTTCTCTAAGTTCGGCGAACTTACTAAGAAGGCCTTGCTGTTTAGAGTACATATGGGATAGTGATTTGGTTGGTAGGAGTGCGTTGATCGATGTCAGATTGGTGTTTAATTTAAAACTGACCGTTAGTGGGCAGGCCTGCAATCGTTTTCTGGTTGTCGGTTGGTTTATGAATGTCATTTTAGCTGCATAGATTCGCAGTGTTCCAGTTCAGGATGTTCACTAGAGCATCGCTTTGTTATTTCTTTGTGCTACGGGTGCTGTTGTGTCATGCTCCCCGACGAACCGGAGACAAGGTATTTACTGCGGTTGAGATTCCATCGAATCGTTGCCAACTGGCGGCTGTGCACCATCTGCCGGGTCTCGGTTGAAAATCCGACACGAAAATTCAATCAGTTATCCAATAGAGTTTGTGTCATTGGCACTTATGGCGTCGTCGCGACGTCTCATTCTCACTAAAGGACCGCGTTTGCAGTGCATCCTTTTGCTCAGTATTGTTGTATGGGTGCAAATCCTGGCCGATTCGCGTGGAAGACATGCGTCGTCTTTCTGCGTTTGATAACGGTTACTTAAGGAGGATCGCTCGTGTTTGGTGGCAACATCGAGTTAATAATAATGACGTTCGACGTCGCATCTTGGGGAATACGAGTATTCCCTTCAACAAACTAGTTTTGTTGCGCCAGTTAAGATGGCTCGGTCAGGTCCTACGCATGGCACCCGAGCATCTACCGCGTTGCGCTCTATTCGCTCGTCAAGGACCTGGCTGGAAGCGACCGCGTGGTGGTCAGCCTTCCACTTGGCGGCAGCACATGAAATCGCTGATGTCGTGTCTAGCTGTTGTTGGATCCGTACGTCTTCCAGCATGGGGACCCAAAGATGAGGAGTGCAAATGGCTTAGCACTACTGAAGACATGGCCCGCAACCGGAATCAGTGGAAGAATTATGTACAGTATTGTACTGATTCACATGTTTAATACTTCAAACATTGTAAATGACAAAAAAGAGCAAAATCGGCGTGTGAAAAACAAACTAAAAATGTTTTGTTCAACTTTTTGTCAAAATGTTCCTTTCTTCCTGTGGCATAGTAGCAGAAGTGTGTTGCTCACCTTCAGCTATCATGCCAGATGATTATGACACGATGACGGTCCATTATCTGCTTATCTCCATGGCTTTGTTGGCTCTGCGTCTAGTTGCTAGGCTGCTGAGATTACATACATACATACTTTGTGTCATTCTCTTTCGTGCAGCCCCTCTTCATCAATCGCGGACCACATCCGTTGCAGTTAAGTGATGAAGGAAATTTTATCAATGATTTTGCGATAATATTGTCCAGAGAGAGTGCTTCACGCTTGTAGAAACACTTCTGTCTAGCATGTGCTTGTGCCTCATGATTAAGTGATTCCGGATGCTCGGGAACACCATGAAAATTATGGTTATCCTGGTACCCAATTAAGAGGACCGCCATGGTTACTCGCTTTTTTTGAGCGATCATACCAAGGCAGGTTGCGCAATATGCGCACCCCGCGTTGTGAATAGCGAAGACGAAATGCTAAGAGCAGAATGGCCGCTGTCTCATTTTCTGAGGTCAGTGTTGCTCGAAGAATTCAAGCTTCACCACAGTGCACTGGGTTTGGGTGACGCCTTCCGCATTTCAGTATAGTGGGCTTAACTGAATATCAATCGCATGGTAGACGGAATTCCACTGGTTTTGATAGTCTAGCTACGTAACCCTTATTGTTGCAGATTTGAAGTTGTGAACGTTAATGCATAAAAGAGTTGACGCACCGTGGTTCTGTCTATCGAACTTCGGTATGAGAGTTGTTTCTGATGATTTTAGCGCAGTCTGAGCTGTTACTTCCAGTCCTAAACACGCCCGTGCATTTCCCTTCTCCATCTTTACCGCTAAATGGGATCAAGGTCAGTGCTTTTCAGCGCAGTAATACCCGTTTCTGTCGGTCCAATAACACATTTTGCTTACATTCATTTGATTCCTTTTTACATCGCTTTATGGTAGTCAAAACATACGTCTTACCAGTTACGAGAGCATAATGCTTGTGTTTTTTATCAAATAGCATGAAGTTTATATGTGTACCTCAAGGTAAACTTACAGTGAGCGGACTGGCTCGCGTTGAGTGATGCTTCATATAACTCGTGAAGTGTGGGTTTGCAGAGGTTGCAATGCTTGCAGTGATTTCAGTCTTTGAAGTGGGCGTACTGTGAATCCGATTCCCGATTGTACCGTATCCAATGCTCATGTTACTTGTGTGTCCAAATTCTCTTGAGATTCCAGGAAATAATAGGGGTGTATTATTAAAACCCTTGCCTTCGTAGCTCGAATATAGTTTCGAACTAACCATAGGATCTAACTTCCACTTGGCCGTCCGTAGGATATCTGAACCGTGACAGTCCACACCGAACAAATTTGTCTCCCCGCGTAAGACACGCTCGGTTGCACTGAACACCGCTAAGCCAGGAATCGTCGCAGCTGAGCGTACTGTCTCAGCAGGAAAAGCGAAACCACGCGCCGTCTTTATATCCTTCACATTAGTGTAAGATTGGCTTCCAGAATCATCACTGTCAGTAACACCACTGTAAGCCTGAAAAAACGGTTAAGCGGATATGTTAAGCCACTGGATTAGTACAAATACTCACACTTTAAAACTAAAGTAATTTCTTGGTTGAAGCGTTTACATTTTCAGCTTAGAATGACAGTAGTATCCAATAATAAATGTTCTTAAGGTTCTGTCGTACGGTTTTGATTTTTGTGCTTTCGTACTTTTTGTACCAGCTTTATTTTACAATTCTCATCACACACACGTCCACGTAGACTCATTAAAGCGTTATATGGTGCATAACATCTTTTAGGTCTAACGTTTGCAGTCCATCTTTTATACCATTAACAACGTTCTATAATCTACTTACTGCAATTTACGCGTGTATGAACGCCAAAATCGCTTTACTAGAGACGAACATATCGTAGTGTAGGTTCTAGTCCTCCTCTACGTGCCTTGCTTTAAGCATGATTATATCCCGTTAACTTTGTGCTACCTACTGTTGTAAAAGTTAAACATACTTTAAATACACCAGTGGTCCAGTGAGTACAGATAAGCACCTTCAGTCCGACTTGAATGTTTTCGGCCAGGGCTTAGATACCCACTAAACAACGCCCAATGTTTAGTAATGCCACTGCTAGCAACATGTTAGATCATACTGACCATCAGCATGCTATATCTGGTTGTCACATCTCATATAGTAAACCCAAGGAGCGGATTTAGGAAACAGTTGCGGAATCACTGGTTCTAACAGATGCCTCCTTTGCAAGTGTTTCCAGAAACGATTAATGGCCCACACTTAAACGGCCGGTACAACAGCATACTCAAAACAAGCTCTATCAGGCGCTACTGAGTTCAGAGCTGTTTACATTTGTTACCAAGGCCTACTTAGCTAGAATACGGGACTGTACTCGCGGAGCTCAATAGTCTTCGGATCATGGCGATAACCGTCAACCGCAATGTGCCGAGTTCCACTCCCCAATCAGGCGCTCGTTGCCTAAAAAGTCCAAACCAGAACGAAACGCATCGGGCAGCACAAGAATAGAAGAGAGCAAAACTGAAAACTTCCAATAATGAAATTTGAATACGAATGGCATCGTTTGACTAAAAAGGTTACATAACTGATATTTAGTGTCTCCAAGATACTACTGACGCCGAAGTCAAGATACAGGAAATAATAGATGGAAGGGAGCAAAAGAACAAGGAAGTTGTACCAAAGAAATGTACTTGTGCAAATGATAAGGAGATTTCCCCAAAAAGTTTAACCCAAACCGACCAATCAATACCGCTTGATTGCTTAACGCACTGCATGATAACACGACAGTTACATTCATTTGGGAACTAGCCGTTGCTTGTCAGAAAACACTGCACAACCACAATGCGTTTCCATGTCATTTCATCTCAGCAAGTGGCGATAGCATTCCTCGAAACTGCGATGAATAAAATAGAAGCAGAAACCTCTAAAACTTTGGCTACCGGGTCACGACGGGCAACGGATTGCGACACGCAATCTCTATGTTATGGACCGCGATTCACATTGATGTGAACTTTAGTCACTGCGTGACCGTATGCAAAACAGTCAGGGACTGCGTGTTGCCCGCCCGATAACACTGCACAACCACGACTTGTTTCATCTCAGCAGGTTGAGATAGACTTCCTCGAATGCGCGACCATTGTAATAGTAGCAGAAACTTCCACCCCTTTGGCTACCGGGTCATGGTGAGCAATGCTTGGCACAACGGTAAATGACTAATTGGAGGGTCAAGTTTGGACTATACGTTGTGTGATTGGAGTGCTACGCGCAACCTCAATCATATGGACCTCGATTCATACTGAAGTAAACCTTATTCACTGCGATCACTGGGACCGTAGTGAAGTCTAAGGAGAATGTGGCATCTCCCGCCAGAAAACACTGTACAACCACGACGTGTTTCGATGTTCTTTCCTCTCATCAGCCTGAGAGTGCAGGAGTCGAACCAGCGACCAATAGAATATTAGCCGAAACCTTTATCCCTTTGGCTACGAATCACAGCTTGCATCGCATGGCACAAAGGTAAATGACCAATTGGTGAGTCAAGTTTGGACTACATGTTGTTTGATTGGATTGCGACGCGCTACCTCAATGATTTGGACCGCGATTCACATTGAAGTGAACCTTAGTCACTACGATCAATGGGACCGTATTCAAAGCAGTCGGGAACTGCGTGTTGTTTGTTATAAAACACTGCACTACCTCAAAGCGTTTCGCTGTCATTTTATCTCATCTGGTAGAAATAGTGGGCCTCGGACTTGAGACAATTTAACAGCAGCGGAAACCTTTACACCTTTGTCTACCGGGTCACGGCGGGAAATGCTTGGCACAACGTTACATGTCCAACTGGATGGTCATGTTTGGACTACACGATGTGTGATTGGATTGCAACGCGCAATCAATTGATATGTACCGCGAATGAAGTTGAAGTGAAGTTTAGTCACTGCGAACACTGGGAAGGTATGCAAAGCAGAGGTGAATTGGGTATAGCCCGCTTTAATATCCTGCAAAGCAATGAAGCGTTTTGAATTCATCTCATCTCATCAGGTGGTGATAGAATTCCACGAACCTGCAACCATTGGAATAGTAGCAGAAACCTCTACCCCCTTGGCTACCGGGTCACGTCGGGCAACGCTTGGCACAACGGTAAATGACTAATTGGACGGTCACGATTGGACTACTCGTTGTGTGATTGGATTGCGACACGCAATCTCTATGTTATGGACCGCGATGCCCATTGAATAACCCTTAGACACTGCGATCACAGGGACCGTAGTCAATGCAGGTAGGAACTGGTTGTTGCCCGCCCGAAAACACTGCACAACCACGACTTGTTTCGATGTTATTTCATCTCATCTTGTGGAGAAAGCCTTCACTGAATCCGCGACATTTTTAATCCTTCCAAATCCTCTGCCCCTTTGGCTCGCTGGTCACAGCTTTCATTGCTTGACACAAATGTAGATGACTAATTGTACAGTCAAGTTCTGACTACACATTGTGCGATTGGATTGCAACGCGCAAACTCAATGATTTGGACCGCGATTCACATTGCAGTGAACCTTAGTCACTGCGATCATTGGGAAAGTAGTAAAGCAGAGGAGAACTGGTTCTCGCCCTCCAGAAAATACTCCACAACCGCGAAGCTTTTTGATGCCAGTTCATCTCGTCATTTGACGAGAGAAGTTTTATTACCTGAGACCATTTGAATAGCAACAGAAACAGCTACCACTTTGGCTACCGAGTCACGGCGCGCAAAGCTCCGCACAACTTTAAATGACTAACTAGATGGTAAAGTTTGGACTACACGTTGGATGACTGGATTGCGTCGCCCAATCTCAAGGATCTGGACCTCTATTTACATTGAAGTGAACCTTAGTCATCGCGATCAATGGGACCGTATTCAAGGCAGATGAAAACTGGGTATAGCCCGGTTTAAATCCTGCAATAGCACGAAGCTTCTCGATGTCCTTTCATCTCATTGTTGGATATAGTGGGCCTTGGATCTGACACCGGATTTCTTCGTACTTGCGACCATTGTAATAGTTGCTGAAACCTCTACCTTTTGGCTACCGGGTCACGACGTTCAACGCTTGGATCAACGGTAGACGATATCGAAACGCGCCTTGGTTTGGCAGTTTTTGGGCGGACATCACCCAGTTCCCATCTGCTTTAACTACGGTTCCATGTATCGCAATGAGCAAGGTTCACTTCCATGTTAATGGCCTTCCATATCTTTCTTCTCTCATATCATGTATTCCCAACTTGTCTGCAGGTTAATTGTTTGCTTTTTCGTATTGTCACCTTGATTAACCACAATATTTTGCCCATCTTGCATCGCTCAATGGTTAATTTAGTCCTCCCACCTATGGTACTCCTTTCGCTTATTAAACTTCCCGGTTACACACTCAGCTTCATTAGTCTCTACTGGTCCCGTCATACGTCATTTGTGCCCTACCTTTCTCTTAGCTGTCTCTTTCGAGGTATTCACCTCGTAACTTTGGTACATCCCGACCAGGCTGCTCTAGTAGTTGCACAGGTTTCAAGACCGATTTGTTGGTAACAGAATTTCTCATATCTCTATTCCTCTGCACCAAACTAGAGCTTTAGAAGTGAAACTAAATTGTGGTGTTGGAAGATGTATCAACCGCGTGCCATTTATAATAGGTTGTTCTGTGTAAAACTTTTCCTTCTAAATGTTCCTATTGACATCTCAGCGATAAGAAGAAATGTAATAATATGACAGCTTTGTTTGCTTCTTCGCTGAATGCAACGCTATTCCACTTATCAGGCGTATTGAGGTGTTGGCGCAAAACTTCGACAGACGGGCGCGGATTGTAGAAAAATCAGCCGGTGTAAGATCTCTGCCACTGGGACCAGAAGAGCCAATGCCTAAAACTTGATACTCGACGAGCCCGAGTGTAAGTAAAACGATCCAGAGTTAGCCATCTCGATATTAGGAGCTGCTGCTAATGAAGCGTGACAAGTGTATGCTTAATCAGAGCCACATGCTTCATCGATAAAAGCCGGAAGACCGACACCTCCGCGTGCCTTTTCGCCACCCTATTGACAAAGCAACCGACCATGGTTGTCTCGACCGCTGCCAAAATTGGCAGATTGCTGCCCCATACCACAACTGGACCCAAGACACCATCAGTTTCCTAGTCAAAGGAAGCAACCAGATTCTCCACTAAAATGGCTAATATCAGAAAACTCCATAATTTTCCCGATGTTTGCTCCAGTGTGTTTGAATCCGAGTGAAACTACATAAAACTTCAGATAATAGACAGGAAACTGTTGAACTCTCTCTGTAAGCCAGTAGGAGTCAAACCTAAGCCAGCCAGTAACATGCCCATCCTCCGTCATCAAAACTCCCTAAACTACGGACAACCGCGGTTACTCCAAGTTTAACGTCAGACAAGAAATGACGCTGCAGCAGTTCTCTTGTCAGCCACCCGATCCCGTACCAACCCAAGTACTGTCAACATATTTTCGTATGTTCTCTGGAGCGAACGTC